ACGATGACAGGCTTGTACGTGGAAAAATTTGGTGTTAGCATCCCCTTCCTCCAAGAACCTGATTCTAGAGCGATGTCGCGCGATCGTACGCGCCAACGACGCCAGGCCGAAGCGACCTCTCTTCATCCGACATCTCCCTGGGCTCCTGAGCGGCGTCGAACTGAGCGACCAGCTCTCGCGCCATGAAGAGTTGGAGCCGAACGCGCTCCCAACATTCCGCATACTCCAGCTCTTGAGTGCATTAGCCGTGCGCCTTAATTTGTAGTCGATCACCCTGCACGCGTCAACGTTGGATAGGGAACAGGACCAAGCCTCCTTCACGACCTCCTCGAACCCCTCCAGGGGTACCCAGAACCCCTCAAACCGAAACCGCGGCTTAGCCCAGGGCACGGATGAGAGCTGTAGCAACAAGGGCGTGTGGTCAGAGCAGTCTGAAGAAAGTGCTCTCAGATGATGATCAGCGAACTGCTCGAACCACTGAACGGTGGCAAAAGCCCTGTCGATCCGCTCCATGGTTGGGCGACGTCGCTGGTTAGTCCAGGTGAACAACCTGCCGTGCAGATAGAGCTCGTCGACCTGCATATCGTCTAAAGCTCGCCGAAAGCGTCGCATGGATCACAAATTCAGCCGGTCGTTGCTCTTGTCCGCAGCTTGATAAATCAAGTTGAAGTCCCCGACAAGCGGCAAGGCACCAGCACAGCCAGCGCCTATCTCCCGGAGCTCGACCAAAAAATCATGCTTTAAGCTTTCATCCACAGGGCCGTACACCGTGGCCAACGACCAAGGCGCGTCGGCCGAACACAAAGGAGCTAAATCAATGGTTACCGAGAAGAGGCGACATGTCCGCCGGCTCACAGACCAGGTGCTACGACACCAAGCCACAACGATGCCTCCCGAGGCCCCCGAAGAAGGTAAACAGACATAGTCAAACGATGTTCCCACTAGATCATTCGCTAAAGCCGGCGTCAGTACATCAAGTTTAGTCTCGACGAGACAAGCGACCGAAACACGCTCTTGCAGCACGAATTCGCGCACTACATCACGGCGTGCCCGCGAATTGAGACCTCGAACGTTCCAGATAAAAAAGTTGTGACCTAACATGATAAACAGCTACGGCGCGACCAGATGCAGCAGCTTAGGCGGCGCGAACGGGGCCAGAACCCCGCTGCTTCCTACCGGGGAAGAGCACCTGCAGGAGTGAGCGGTAGCTTGAAGGCTGCCTGGAACTCCTGGAATGTTGCCTCATCAGGAAGCTCGGTCTCGGTATCAAGGCCAATGCGCCGCATCATGACCTTCCTTGCTTGCGCCTCCGGCCTTGGAGCGCGCGACTTGATCTTCAGAGCCAGGCGTGCACTTAGCTTGGGGATGAGGTCTTCAACTCTTCACCACGTATCTCCTTCGCCCTGGTAGCGCGCGTCGTACGCAGGCGTGGCGGCGACAGCAAGATGGGCTGCGCCAGCGGCTTCTTGAAGATGTCGATGAATTCGTCAGCAAGCAGCGGCGTCGATGAGTGGTCGCAGTTCACCGCATCAACAGGGCTGTCAACCGCGCGCTGGGCCAAGTCCCCAATCAGCTCCCCAGGGAGCAAGGGGTCCGTAGTCGTGACATGGGCCTGGAAGCAGTCCACACCTGTAGCGGGCTGCATCGGCGAGCAATTACCTGAGCTACAGCCCTCAGGCCCGGAAAGGCAAAGATCGACCTCCCGGCCCACCTCGCGGGTGTCCACCTCCAGCTGCAGCAAGCCCAATCCGAATCCACACATAACATCCGGCCCATCAGCACGCCCAACAGGCACGCTCTTCCCCAGGCCTGTCCAAAGCTCGAACTCGGCATCAAGGGCCGCCCCCACCATGCCCCGGCGGTGGCAAGTTGAAGGGCACGACCCTCGAGCGCAGACCTCGATAGACTGCGCCGTATCCCTGCTGTTACTGACGACCGGGACAGGCGTGCACAGTGCAGCCTCAGCAAGCAATGGGTCGGCATCTGCGCTCTTGACAGGAGAGGGTGAGCTGGCCCGCATGAGGGCGTAGTCGACGGTCGAGGCCAAGGAGGGGACGACAGGCGCCCGCCCTGGCGCAGGAGTCCCGCTGCTCTGGTCTTGACAGGGCGTGGTGCCGCGCGGCGATGCGACCGGCTCGACACGCTTCCGCCCCCCAGCGGGAATCTTGCTGCCGTAGCCGCGATAGGGCATGGCGCCGCGCGACGACGCGACCGGCAAGCCACACCCCCGACCAGGATGGCAGCCCTCTTTCCCGTGCGCGGAAAGCGGGCCCGGACCCACGTCCCAACCGAGGCTCATCGCCGGCGGCGAAACGGGTCGTACGTGGCCGTGCACCGCCTCCATCTCCGCCGAATCCTGGGTGATAGCCATTGAAGTTGCTGTCGCCACTGTCGTCGCTGTCGTTGCCGGCGTAATACTCATCGTCATCGGATGTTGGAGGAGTATGCCAATCCTGGAACTCGGAACTCGATGATCCGGAGGCGGACCAGGTATCGCAATGCGCAGGGACCTCGTCATGAATGATCTCATGGGGTCGGAGATAGAGCGGCGAACCACCATCATGCTCCTCCTCCTATTCGGGCACCGCCATGATCTTCTCATCAGGTATGAGATCGGGGTGCGCACACCACGTCGCCACGAAGAGCTCCCGCTCGTCGCCGGGGTCCACCACCGCCTCGGGGTTCGCGATGTCGACGCGAGCGCGGGAGGAACCCAGAATGGTTTGCGCCACCTCCTTGGAACGAGCATGCGCCGGAATGCCCTTCATACCGACCAACACCCGGAACCGGAAGGCCCCAGCCGACGCCATGAACAGGCGGCTCCATCTCCGCCAGCGCAGGGTGAACTGGGCCTCCGGAGGCGGAGCAGATCCCAGGACAAGCTCGAGGTCCTCGACCCGGGAGAAGCGGACAATGAAATCATCAGGCTTGGTTCGGCGAACGGAGACCCGGTCCTCCGCAATGCCGTAGTGACGACCGAGGTGCTCGAGGACCATCGCCGGAGAGACATGCGGCCGCGTACCAAGCACCAGAGCGACCAGGGCCATGGAGAGCACATCCTCCGCCGCCTGGAGTTCCGGGGTACGCGGAACGACGACCAGCTCAAGTAGAGGCGTCCGAGCACGTGTACATGGAGAAGCCGGTTGCTCCTGAACCCTTCGGAGAAGGGACCACGGTGGCTGGGAGGGACGCCGAGGGAAGTCTGGCGCAGCCCCAGCAGGAACATCAGAAGCACCGGCCGCGGCGCTGCTCCCAGAAGGCCCATCAACATGCGTTGAGGAGGCCCGGGCCCCCAGCGCATCGGCCGGCTCCTCGCAGACTGGGTCGCCGACCAAGCGGGAGCCATCCCCCGTCGACCAAGCGCGAGCCCTCCTCGCCGAGGGCAGGATGCTCCGGCGTAGGCGGCTCACACACCGGGGGAACCGAGTGCTCGCAAACCGTGTCCGCCGAAGCAGCGCGACGCCGAGAGGAGGCCCTACGCCTCTGAGCTCCTCGATGACGACCCGCCCCGCCCACCGGAGAGCGGCCGCGCTTGCTCTCCCAGTGGCGGTGCTCAGCTGTTAGGAATAATCATGACTTGTTCATGTTTGAGTATTTGCATTAGTTAGTATGCAGGTTGCTGAAAGGCGAGATGTGTTCTCATGGAGGCATGAGCTAGTTATTGGTGTGCGTCAGTTAATCATCTAGCTAGTTAGTTAGCACGTTGCATGTGTTAGTGGAGTGAGTCTTCAGGTTTGTTAGCTGCATGCATAAGTGGAGGAGCACGTTGGAGCGTAGCTCCCGGTCAGCTCAGAGGACGCCCGGTTCATGCGCATGAGTGAGTGGCTCATGCACGAGTGGAAGCCCGGGCCGTGTGGAGATCATGCGTGCGTGCGCGTGAGACCCGGTTTGAGGCTGTTGCTCGACGGTGCGTGATTGAGTCTTTATAAGCATCATGTAAGTCTTTGTTTGCAGACGTGTGAGTTTTAATCCAAAGCATAAGAAAAGGGCGTGCGTCGCCGTAAGTGTCTGTGTCCACTTTAAACTTATCCTGCGAGTGTGCACTCGTAAAATTTCCTGCCGGAGGCGAGCTTGTGTGAGTTTGGCTCCGCAAGTTGAGGTCCTGGTGAATCCATCATCAGCGACCGGGCGCGGGCAGACGCGAGCCTGGTGACCGACCTCGTCGCAGTTGAAGCACCTGTAGGCGGAAGTGTGCAGTCCGCACGAACATGGTCGGTGGCGAAAGCAGTTGAAGCATTTGCCCACAAGGTCCTGAGGGATGGGCCGTCGGGGCGAGGCGGCGCGGCGACAACACCTGCGACTCTGCACAGGCCGGAACCCGTCTGCGTCGGGCTCGACGGACATGCGCACTGGATGTACAACAACGGAGGCGAGTCTAGCAGGTAGCTGCTGAGGAGGCCGCGGCTCCTGGTGACGGACCGTCCCCGGAACGTGCCTCGGCCGAGACGGGCGCGACAGAGTCTCCAAGAGAGGCCTCCGAGTCGGAGAAGTGCAGACAAGCCAAGTCCGAAGCTCTTGATTTCTGGGAAAAAAAAAAGGTCCGACTCCGACCCGAATTGGATGGACCAAGCAACCAAGTAGCCGCCTATAAATATCGCGCTCTGTTACCAGCAGCCACGATCGTTTTCGCTGTTGCCCTTCGTCCCAATCCCATCGATGCCTCCAACGCGACGTGCCCGCTCTCCCGGCGCGACGCCGCCGTCGCCCTACGCCATCAAAGGGTGGCTATCCCGCTGCCGCTGCTCAACGAGGAGCCGAAACGGCAGGCGCGCCGCCGCCGGTACCGACGACGACCCCCTGGCCATCCTGCCCGACGAGCTTCTCTTCGAGTCCATCTTCTCCCGGGTGTTCTCGGACGCCGCCGACATCGCCCGGTGCGCCGCCGCGTGTAGGCGCTGGGGTCACATCGTGGCCGCGCGCGGGGCCACCGCCATCTGCCGCTCCCTGCCGCCGCCTGACCGGCTTCTCCCCCACCGCAGCCGAGCCCGTGGTTCGTGCCCATGGCGTCCGCCACCCGCCTCATTGGCTCGCCGTTCCCGGGCCTCCTCCTAGGCGGCAGCCTTTTCCACCACGCGCGTCCGGTGGCGTCCCGCAACGGCCTCGTCGTCCTCGAGCTCTGGAGCGTGGGCGCCCGCCGTGCCGAAGACCTCGCCCTCGCCGTGTGCAACCCGATGACGGGCGACGTGGCCCTTCTCCCGCCTCTCGCGGGCCCCGGCCACGACTACGCATGCGCGCTGCTCACCGCCGACGACCTGCTGGATGAACACGGACCGCTTGGCCCTCGCCGGCCGGGACTGTTGTTCAGCCTTGTCCTGGTCTACAACCGCCGCGGCTTCACAGCTCTGCGGTGCTACACCACCTCCTCGTCCTCGGACGGCGACGGAAGCTGGGGGCCAGAAGCCAGGAAACCAGGCGCCAAGATTAAAGGCCACATCCTACGTCATCTAGGCCAGGCCGTCGTGCTCGCCGGGGTGGCCTACTGGCCCATGTACTTAGGGGCTCTGGGCGTGCGCCTGGACGGCGCTGGCGCGGGGGTGGTGGACGTGTGCATGGTGCCATACAGTTCGCCAAACGCCCTGCCGGGCAACCGGCTGCTCGGCACGACGCCAGACGGGAGGCTGAGCTTCATCAGCGTGGGCGTGTTCTTGGACATGTTTAGCTTCAGAGTTGAAACCTTGGACCTGCGAAGCATCGACGACATGAGCACGGCGGCTGACCGATGGGAGAGGCCCAAATTGATCGACCTACACCAGCTGAAGGTGTCGACGACGACGCATATCAAGTTGCGGTGGCTTTGTGAGAAGAGTGGCACGCTGTTCTTTACCGTCGTCGGGGAAGGTACAAGCACAAGCGGCGCCTTCGCCTTGAACCTCGCGACGATGTCGTTCGAAAAGCTGGCCGATGGCGCCGAGTGCAACTCTTGGACGAGCTTCTGTGGATATGAAATGGACCACACCGCACTCATTGCGTCCATCACAGCTCGCTTCACTTAGCGACTACCAGCTCCCCTCTCGTGAGAGAAATCAAATTTTGGAATGAAATGGTTTTAGTTGTAATATATTCCGCTTTAGTTCAAATATTCAACTCCAGAGAAGATCAAACAAGTAATTTAGACGGCTTCATCTTCATCCTTGTCAGTCTCAAATGAGCTAGCGCATGACTCTAATCATGCCCAGTTTATAATAAGATATATTACTCGATTCTATGATAGTTTATCAGTATCAAATTGCTCAGAGCATTCACACGTACAGTAGCCAACCCATACTCTTTTTTTTTAGAATTACATAGTGCAACAACGCACAAGCACCTGCTTTTAATTTTAGAATAAAATATTTTTCTCTTGCTCTTTTGTTGCACGATGTTTTCTTTTGCTACATGAGGAGTACGTTTATTTTTTATAGCTGATGCATCGACTATGTGTCGATTCTTCTCCCTTCTTCAATCAAATTAATTCCGAATCCTCCAATAGGAGTGCCATCATAGGATCATGGGGTGGCTACTGTGGATGCTCTGAGCAATGTGATACAAGTCGCCAGCCTCAGCTCCTTGTAGCTCCTCCCACGATTCACCCTCTCTTCAGGAGGGGGTGATTTTTTAGTGCGTCGATAGGTGGGGCCCTTTAGTTCCCTCTCATTTGCTTCTCTTCATCCGACCGCAAGCGATAGGAGACCCGCCCTTGGCCTGTTGCCCTCCCAACACCTTGCCTCCCATAAACCCTAGCCACACTCCTCTTCTCACCATGCGATTCATGATAGCGACTGCCCGTGTGGCCCCCTCCCCTAGCTGGCAGTGACGCACGCGACCCCCTCCCTCCTGACTAGCGGCGCTCAGCACCATCCTTCAGCCGCCCCGACCAAGGCCCTAGACCTCACCCTCCCCGTTCCCTTGCTCCGCCAAGTCTGGGCCCCCACCGCACGTGCGGCGGGCGTGGTGGAGCCATGGAGGCTAGACAAGAACGTCGAGGCAAACAAGGACGCCAGCTAGAGGATGTCGAGGCAGACGAGGACACCACCAATCCATGAAGGTGAGTCCTAGGTCCTCCTCCCCATCCTATGTTGTAAGTTGTCCCTCTCGATCTATATATGCTACCCTCCTTTGATGCTGCCTCTCCATAGTGTGTCCTCCAACCTCACGTCGCAACCGTCTTTGACTGATGTCGTTGCAGCACTTAGTAGCAACCTACACGGAGGAGGATGACATTCACTCTCCATGAGCGAGGAGGGTGGCCGCCAGTGGATGGGGCAGGCAGATCCGGTGGAGGTGGGTGCATCTAGGGTGACGGCCCTAACTACAGCCATGTGTCCAAAACTATGTGTCAGTTCGCGTCAAACACCAAAGAGAGAAGAGAGGACGAAGGCAAAGGGCGTCGCGTCAGTCCCAACTCCCAACTCCAAAATCACGTGTCAGGCTGTCAGCTCGTGTCAAGCACCACCAGGCAATTTCACAGGGCACTCCTATAGGCAACATACATGGCCACACAGTAAGATTCTATTCTCCACATTTTTTCTCATTTCTTAGGGCGTCCGCAATGTATATCCGGAACAGGCGGTAAGAAGGTGGACCCAAGAACAAGCGGTAGTAATCCATTCACACAAACAATGTATATCCGGAAGTAAGGTGGGCTCCACAATAGAAAAATCGCTAATCCAACCTCCTGTGCGAGTCTTCTGCATTGACCCTCGCCCAGTGGCGAAGCTAGAGCCAAATATAGGGGGTGCGAGTAAAGTTTAAACTTTTAACAAAATTTTAGATATAATTCGTAAATTTTGGCAGTTTCATGTTTTTTTTTAAAAATATCATATTTTATAAATGTTACCATATCCTATAACACGAGTTTGTACATATCTTGGCGATTTTTTCCGAGACTCAAATAGAAGCGTACTCTCATATACACGAGCATACACTCATCTCTATAAATACAGGCACATACACCTTATCCCTATAAACACCTCTGAAATACTAAGTTGGACTTGCAAATCTCAGAGATTGATGAAGCCATCGCAGATGTCTCGCTATTTACGGGTACGTCTTTTACCAGTGAAGAAGTGGGACAGCATATCCACATGCATTATTTATCATGGCTCCGACTGCTTGTTATAGTGCACGAAGGCACTTGAGCTGGTGAAACAAAAAATAGTAGTTCTAGTGACTACTCTAGTTCATTTTAATAAGATAGATAGAAATAGCTTTTTACTATAGTACAGGAGTCAGAGCCTGAGCTTAATCCAGTTGAAGCTCTACTAAATGGGAACTTAGACAAAAATAAAGATGGGGTGCACAACTTTATTTTCAGTATATGATTTTGCACTGAAGCTAAAATACAAAAATGTGAGAAAAGCTAAAATAACGTTGGTTTCAACAGTGGAGTAATATACTTTTTGCATGCAATTATTAGTACTTTGGCTTGTTTAATCAACCGAGCTAGGGATATATGATATGCTTGATAGCTGGCATGGGACTAAAACTCTTCTTTTGCCGCTCAACCTTGGTTTGCTGGATCTGTGGATACATTAATTTTTGGCAAGGGGGTACACATATGGTAAAAAAATGATAGTTAGCACTAAGTTTTAATTTTGGCGTGGGTGATTTGCACCCACAGTCTTAGCTTTGCCCCTGCCGTCACCGCCGCCTCCGCTATGTGCCGATTCCCTCCCCATATGCCGTCGGCTCCTTCTCCTCGCCGATGGCTCCTTGTCCTGCCCTTCTCTCTCTGCCGCGGACAGCGCTCAGTCTGTGCCGCAAGGGGCGAGGTCGTGGAGGAGCTGCAGCGGTTCCTTGAGCTGCTCTCGGGGGAGCTGGGCCACTGCTCCTCGTCAAGTCCATGGTCGGGGCCTCCTCCACCACTCGGCACGCACATGTCTGGGGCTGCCGCCTTTGTCTGGCCTGGGAAGTGCCATGGCTAGGTCTGCCATGGAGGAAAGATGATATGGGGTTTTGTACATATTGGATTATGGGATTTTGTGGTTTTGTACATATTGGATTTTACCTGGCCTTTGCCTTTGCCTCAGAATCTTACTTGTACATATTGGATTATGGGATTTTATGGTTTTCTATTAGATTTTTAAAACTCAATGAGATCTAAAGAAAACGTTAAGGGCCTGATTGGATCCATAGAATTGAATTCATTTCAATAATTATAATTTAGACATAGGTTAATTAAGCTAATATTAGTTGTATATGGAATATATTGGTATATTTATTGTTAGGCATACAAGACATGTACTTATACGTTGTATTTCTATTGTAGAGAAGTGAGTTGAAGAGTGTGCTATAAGTTAAAGAGTAGAATTATAACATAGTGATCTATAGAATCTATTTTCATCTCCTACCCTATGAATTTAAGATAGGCTTATTTATGAGCTTAAAAAAGTTATGGAATATCAAATTCGAAGCCAAATAGCATAATCCATTAAGTAGATTTCAGTTCCTCCAAAACAAAGAGATCCAAACGGCCCCTAATACAATTCATAAAGATGAATTGTTTTGAATATGCAATTGTTGGGTAATGAAATAGGACTGCTCCTACATAATAAGACGAGGGGGCAAATTAGGACATTTTACACAGCATTGCCGCTGTTGTGGGCACAAGATCGCAGGCAGAGCTGGAGACTTGAACGTCGCGTGCAGGTTTCCATGGGCAGGATTCTGATAGACGTGATAACGGGATGAGGTAGCGCACTGTAGCCTAACCGCGGTCGATAATGCCGGCCGGACGGGAATAGATAGTAACACGACAGGTGGCGCCCAGCCACAGTTTGGGCAACGCGCCGGGGCGCCGCGTAATATGTAAAAAAAGCCACGTATCAATCACGGCACCTACAGACGTCAGCAAGCGTGTCTGTAGTAAAGTTGCCGACGGAGGTCGTCGGTCCGGCGAGTTCAATACGCGTCTATAATAAGCGCTTACTACATACGCGTGTTGGTAGAACGCGTCTGTTCTAACGCTGCAGACGCGCATTTATACAATGCGTTTGTAGCTGCATCAATTATTACAGACGCGTGTTGTGATTTTCGAGTCTCGGATAACGGGATCAAACCCTATGAACATGCTTACATAACACGCGTCTATAGTAAGATCTCATGCTGCAGACGCACGCGTCTCTAGTATTCCTACTTGTAGCAGACGCGTCCTGCTCTATACGTGTTTGTACTTTGTGGCAGACGAATGTTCCATACGCGCGTCTGTAATACTTGGCCTGTGGACTTAGCCGTTGGCACGTGCTAACGGGTAGAGGGAGGTACTTGGCGCGTACGGAATACAGGCGCGTGGTGTCGACACGCGTAAGCACCATGGTTCTTCACAAAGACGCGTCTTAATCTTGTTACGAACGTGTCTTCGCAACATGCGTCTCGAGTAAGGACTTACTGCAGACGCATATAGACACCCACCAGTCTCTGTTAAGGTCTTACCACAGACACATGCTCATTTTGTCACAGTCGCGTGTTGGTAACGCGCGTCTGTAGTATGTGCTTATCACAGACGCGTCTGTAATAAGATCTTATTACAGACGCGTTATGGCAAGGCGCGTCTGTGATGTGCCAGAACGCGCGTCTGTGATGTACTTTTTTACATAGTGGCGCGATCTCCAAAGCCCACCTGTCGAGTTGAGCCGGAGATGCCCACGCCAACATGCCCATGCGTTGTCTAAACGCTGGGATGTGCGCAGCTGTAGTGCTGTACTATTGCTACTCGCCTAGCAGCTTAGGGTGACTGGGATATCAACGTCGGGAAGAGAGCTCCTTAGCTCGAGAAATGGTTGCCATCTGGCTAATGGAGGCACCAAGTATAGATGGACAACGGGCCGGCACGACACATCATGCCTCCCAGGCCATGCCTCTCAGGGCCGCGGGCCTGGCCTTCGGCCAGGCACGGCTCTTCGGGCTGTTTTTCGTGTCGGGCTAGTTCGATGAGCACGACCATTTTAGTAGGTCGGGCTGGCCCGAGACCTACTAAATGCTGACATAGAGGGGGAAGGGGAGGGGAGGCCGTGGC